AAGAAAAAAGAAAAAAGAAAAAAAAAAAAAAGTGGAAATCACACCTCGCCACGCGCATAGCTATTAGAGCGTGAGTCGGCGAAACCTAACCCCCACTTTTTTCCCTTTTCACACATAAAAAAATTGTCCACACTCGCGTGCATCAAATTCGTCTTCCGTCCGTATCCACCGTTGATCACATTTTCAAATATCTCAACTGACGGCTGCTGTTTCTCCTGCACCGTGCATGCAGTACCACTCGATTACTCCTCAGTTTTGAAGAAACCAAGCCTCACCCCGAACCAGAAGTTCGGACCCGAACCAAGTCACATAATTACTCTAAAAAGAGTTTGTTCTTCAATTTATTTTTCCTGGAGCGACTTTATTATAGGCGTACTTGTCTGAGAAAAAACAAAGAAGGCCACCACCCCCCATCTCTCTTCTCTCTTCTCTCTCTCCCCCATGACCTTAGTGAGAGAGAATAAGCAGTGAACAGTGGCGGACCTATACATACACACTCTGTATCTATACCCTTGAGTTTAGACAGAGAAAGTTGAAGATGGAAGTGCAGTTAAGTTGGCTCTACTTGATTTGATCTCCGTTTCATGAATTATTCAAAAGTAAGTGGCCATTGGTAAATGCTACATTCAATTAATCATGAAGTTGCGGTTCCAATTGCTGCTTTACTCGGTTGTACGTTGCTTTGAGTCGGATTTTCTTTTTTAACTTGCTTGGGTGTCTGTTTGATCAGTAATTGCGGGGTTTGTTGTTTTCATGTGTGTGTGTTGAAGTGGGGTTGGAGTGAGTTGTAAGCGAGGGTTTATTTGTGGTTTTGATGTTTTTCGCAGAGAGATCGATGACATGCAAAGAGGTTTTTAGGGGTTTCTTGTATGTGGAGCCATCAAACTCCTTCTTCCCCAATTTATTGGTTATGCATGTTTTAGTTATTTCAGTATAGTTGCTTTTTCTCGAATAATCACAATTGAATTAGTTGTGAGATTTCTGGTGGCAAATGTATGACACAGTAACAGCTAAAGCGGACTGCTTGAAGAATTAATTCTGCTTTTGTTGGTTAAAGTTTCAGAATATACCAAGAAGTGTGGACCAGTTTCCCCAGGCAAAGCAATCGAGCTATACTGACGGACGTTCAGATGTTACAGCGCCAAGTCATTTCCAAGCAACTGGAGGAACTGCAGAGGAGACAACACCTTCAAGAGTTGGGTAGTAATAACAACAGAAACCAGAATTATGCACACCAGCTGTCTTTAGTGAAACAGGCTTCAGGGGTTCAGTACCCCCCTGCAGCTAACGGGACACCTGTGCTGGATCCTTCACGAATGTTTATGGCGGGTAATATGCAAATGAAACAGCATATTGGGCCAGGTGGACTAGTTCTTTCACAAACTCATAATTTTGCTCCGCAGTTTGACGTATCTTCGTATAGAATTCATGCTCCGAGTGGTGGTGAGAATTTGAATGGCTACTCTTATGTCCAAGGCCTGGATAATCAGAACCAATCCACCTTTGATGGCTCATTTGCGGGTCAAAGATACAATTTCTCGTCCCAACAGATTCAAACACGAGATGGGTTGTTGGTTTCGAATACAGAGGATTATTTGTTGGGGCAAGTTCAAGCTGGAGGTTCTGATAGTGTGGTTTTATCGGATAATTATCACCAACAAGGATTTACTGTGCAGAAAAATGCATCGTCCCTGGAATCTGCGAAAAGGGATGAAAATGCTGCTTCCTTAGATCCACTGGAACAGAAGATCCTATACAATACAGATGACTTCAGCTGGGAATCAACATTCGGCAGGAATAACAAAATGAGTGCTGGAGGATTTGATAAAACGGTTGAGATGCCATCTATGCAAAGTGGTAGCTGGAGTGCTTTGATGCAGTCTGCTGTGGCCGAGACTTCGAGCAGTGATGCTGGGGTACAAGAAGAGTGGAGCGGATTGAGCTTTCAGAATCCAGAACCGTTGAATGAAGGAGAAAAGCTTCAGAGTGATTGGGTTGATAGAAATTTGCAGAATGCCTCATCTCCATGTTCAAAGCCACATGATATGATTCAGAATGTTGATAGCTTCAGTAATTTTCAATCAGCACAGCATCTCAAACAAGAGGAGGGATATCAACCCACAGGTGGCAGTAAGCTGATTCAAGGATCTTTAGCTTTGCCAAATACTTGGCTTGGTGAACGCATGGAACATTCAGACAATGGATCCCATCAGAATAGCAAATTTTCATGCACCAATGATATCCATTCTGGCAATACCTTATCATGTAATTATAATCGTGTTCCCATCCTTTAGTTTTGGCATCTTGATAACAAACCACTCATAGTTGCTAAGAAGGGTTAGATCTCACTCTTGTGCAGGTCATGAATTTCGAGCAGCATTTTGGTCTCAAGGAGTCACATCAGATCACATGTCTGGCATTCAGACAAACTATAATCAGGTTGACCAGAATATACTTCTGACCTGCAATATTTATCTTTGTAGTTCATTAGATTGAAATATTGAATGCACCCTATGTTTTCTATAGTTACATCTCTTTGGTGTTGTGGCAATTCCTTAGGTGGTCCTTGATCAAGATGTTTCTACAACTGAGATGTACACTTGATGAATACTACATGATGGAATATATTAGCTTAATTATTGAGAATCTTTATCAGTTGATTCTTCCTTTCCCTTGAAATGCCTGTAACTGGTTTTCCTATAATTCCTTTCTTACAGGTGAATGAGATGAATGATCATGGGTATTCAGTGAAAGCAGAAAATATGGATCCTGATGCGGTTTCTAGTGCTGAAAATGTGACTGCTTCAAGGTGTTCATTGTCTAGAGCATGATACGTTTTTCCGTTTCTTTTGGCTACCTGTAATTGGTAGAATGGCAAGGCTAAGCACATTATGTGAATAGTAAATTATAGCATCTTATTTTGACTATGAACCTTATACTTCTTGCATATTATGTCTGATTGGCGCATGTTTGATCTGTTTACATCTTTCCCTCTGATGCGGTATCACTTTTGCAGTAAAAGTGTATTTGAGCTACATAACATGGATGATGCTTCGAACGATCAAGCACATGCAATGCAGTTGAGCTCAAAAGTTTCAATTCCAAGGAATTTACCCTACACTTCCCCTACATCATTGAAGTTTGGATTTACGTCGGGGCCCACAGACCATCAATTGCCACAATTATACTCTTCGTCCTCTTCATTTCCGTTGGTGGGTAAAATATTTACTCTCATAAGTTTTCATTACATCAGGTTTTCCAAAATAGAAAACGATTTTCTGGTTTAGTTTCTTGGTCACTAATTTTATTTTTATGATTTTCTGAAGAGATTTTCATTTTAGTAACATATAACTTATGTTTTCAGGGGATTTCAAGTGCAAGACCTCCATCTAATCATATCACAAGTGATTACAGAAGTCAGCATTCAGCTCCTTTGGTTCGAAGTCAGAGGGCTACTGAAGTCCCTGAGTATAATGCTGCAGTCTTTCATGAAAATTCTGAAATGAAAATTTCCAACTCTGGTGGCTCAGAAGTCCCAATTTTACAGAATCAGAATGTAGGATTCCCGCCTTCTCGATGGACAGAAAACCAGAGTACTACTCCACATGAATGTCAACAACTGGAGAAAGAAAATTCTGTTCTTGAGGGCTCGGCTGAGATAACTAACACAAAATCACTAAACAGAAGAGGGTACGAGCAAGATTTTGTGGGAAAGCATTACTTTGAATTAAATTTTCCGGAATCCGCTTCATTGATCACTAATCCGTATGAGCTGGGTTCCGATCAAGCAGAGGTTAAATCAGAAGCACCTTCATTTCCTGCTAGAGAAATTGATTTATGTCTGCATTCTTTGAATCAAAATCACTCTCCTTCTAACCAAATGCTTTCCACAAGCAACAATGAAACTGATGGAGTTAAAAACTTTTTGCCGAAATACTCCAGTATTCATAATGATCACCCGATTACCGATGCAAGGAATTTATTGTTGAATGCACTGCATTTGAAAAATGGAGCAAAAAGTGATTCATATACAGCATCACAACTCCGTGTTTTGTCTGGAAAAGCTTCATCTATGCCTCACAATCAGAACTATTCTCAAGAGGTGGATATCTGTTGCCAAAACCGTCCGATCAGCATGAATAACTCTTCTAATTTGGCATACCAGTCACATATGAATTTACAAACAGCATCATCCTGGATTAAGCATTACAAGACATTGAACAATGGGAAGATTCTATCCATGCGTGATGAAGCAGCTCAAAATAATGCAGCACAACAGATGATTCCTGGGAATTTGCTGGATAATAGTTTGATTAGGCAAGTGGATTTGGCTAACACTGGCCAATGGAGTGGATTATGTCGATCAACAGTTGACACATCTGTGGCGAGCAGCAAATTGAGCCCCACTTGTGTTTTACCCACTTTCCAAAACCTGGCTCGTTCGATGCCAAAGAAACGTAAATTTGCTGAATTCGATATGATACCCTGGCATCAAGGAGTAAATCACGGACAATCAAGTCTCCATGATATCAGGTCTGCTGTAGATCTATTTACTGGTCCCTTGACTCATGTACTAATTGATTACTCTTGCCTTTTTTATTTTATATTTTTGTTTTATGTTTTCACTTTCCAATGTTAAGCACCATGCACAAATAAGACACATCGGAACACCCCATTGACTATGTAATACTTGAATGATAATACCAAAACAAAAAATAAGGAGATAGTTAAACTATACGTCTGCGGTTTAGCTACAACAGACTTGGTTCTCTGAAAATTTACAAATACCTCAAAAAATATAGCGGCATATACCCCCTTGATATCTCTGAGGGTACATTTAGTATAAGAAAATGTACGTGAAGGGGACATATGCAAGTTTGAAAGATAATTGGTTTTTTTTTTTTTTT